TGAGGAGGTGGTGCACATGTTTAAAATTAAAAGGCAAATGACAGCATAGAAGGACAAGAGGGTTTTCAGCCATCCTTTCGGTTCACCTGAGATGTGACTGAGTGAGCTTTGATCTGAGCTTGTATGTGTTCATCTTAGGTTTCAGTCAAAATACATTGGATAATTTCAGAGCGGAAAAAAGTAGTTCCAGCGCGGGTGATTCCAGGGCAGTAACATGCTCTGGGAGGAGAGCGTCTGTTCCTGCATCATCATTTAAATTCATATTTGCTGAAAATAGTTTGTCTCTGAAACCTTGAGCTAATTTGAAATTCGAAGTACATGTTCCGTATACTGTCATGTTTCTTTAATCTGAGTATACAATCTTGCCACTCCTTTGCAGGTGATGTGTTCAGGAGGGATGGTTATATATAATTTTGTACTACTGAATGTAAACGTTCTTTATAAATTACTTTTGAAAGGTTTGATTGTCTGGGGTCTTTTCTACTTCTTTAACTAGCAGGAGGTAACCTGGCTAGTTGCACCTTATAGATGGATGTGTGATGAGGAAGACATGTATGGGTGCCATTGCCAAGGTTGATACAGATGCAGCACACATGGAGAGGATGTTGCATACCCACGACATGCAGTCATACTGAGCCATGCCAGTAGAGAACTGCAGCTGCCTGATTTGTCTCTTACTAGGTAAAGCTGCATTTGGCCCTGGAAGAAGGGACACTGTGGGGCACCCTACACTAGACCTAGGGGTGGGCCAGCTTACTTGGTACTGCCAGGGCAGTGGCAAGTCCAAGATTGCAGCACTGGTGAGATGCTTTGGACTTGCAAGGGTAGGAGGGGAGAAATTAATGTCTATTCTTCTTTTTCATGAGGTTTTAGAAGGCTAGGAAAGATCCCTGTTGTAAAATCACACCACCTCTCACCTGAGGAGCAGAATGCTTCCCAGAGACTGCACGATGCACTGTGGAGCCAGTGCAGGCAGACATTGATGCCTGCTGAATTTTATCCTCAGGGCTTTGCTGTCCCCCTGAAGATTGAGATAAGCTCATTAGGAGGCAAATCTGATTCTTGTGAAAGGGTACATCAAGGATTCAGGAGAGCTGTTGGACTTGATTAAGAACTACTGAGTGCTGCTTTTAGCTGAGGAACTGAGCATGACAGTGATGAGTCACTGGGGCAGATCAACTGCCGAATTTGTTTTATTGCCATCAACTTCCTAAGTCTTAACGAAGCTCAGTGTGTAATCAGCTTCCTCCCCACATTGTTCCACCCTCTCTCTTTACATCTGCTCCAGTGTTGGGAAGCTTGTGAGTGCTGTGGTAGTATTTATGAATTTAGTATATCAACTCACTCCACCCCCTCCATACTAGGGGCATCCGAGCCCCCAGCACAGAGACGCTGTTGTAGAAAACCTGCAGCAAGACTGTCACTTGTCTGCTGAAAAACCCAGCAGAACGGGTGGAGCACTGGGCACCACAGCAGCATCTGAATCTATTTCCCCTGTCTCTTTATCACCCCATGTGTACAGGGGAGGCGTGCATCACACAGTGCGTGCATCACATGATGTGATCAAGCAACTGTAGGAGATGAGGTGTCCAGCTCCAGGTGAACTATGAGAAAAAGAACATTTACTGGTGCTCCCATGCTCTTGTGTGGTGGGTGAGTTGAAGACTGGCAAAGCATGGCCCCCAGGCTGTCATCTGGCCAGCCTAGCCCAAAATTATGGCTGACATGAATCTGCTAACTCCAGTAGACGTGGACATCTAGTGCTGTTTTGGATCTTGTTTTAAGAGCAGTTTGGCACAGTTGTTCCTTTCCCCCTGCACACACTTGGGAAACAGCAGAGATGTGCATCCACCCAATTTTTTTCATTTAGACATGTACGCCCAAGGGAACCTTCACTTTGGATGGCTACGCTTCGAAAGACATTGCTTTTCTCATTTGCGCATGTACAACAGACACAGTGCCTGCAGGTAAGGGCGTCCCTAAGAAACAGCAAGACATTGTTCAAAAAGCTGAAGTCATGTCTAAACAAGGAACGTGGAAAGGACCTGTAACTTTGGCAGATTAATGTGAACATGTGATAGAGCGGGCCAAGAAATATCTTGAGAAACAACTTGAAAGGCAATACCAGTCTCTGAAACATTGGAAAGACTGCAGGAGTCATAGATAATGGAGGCATATAGCAAGAACACTGAGACAAGATCAGGCTAGAGCCAAAAAATTCTATGAGCTGCCTGCATATGACTTCAAAGAATCATAGAATCATTAAGGTTGGAAAAGACCTCTAAGATGATCGAGTCCAACCGTCGACCCAACACCACCATGCCCACTAAACCATGTCCCTAAGCGCCTCATCTACACGTCTTTTAAATACTTCCAGGGATGGTGACTCAACCCCTTCCCTG